AATTTTACTGCTAAAATTCTCTGCTGTTTTTTCACATAGCACACCACTGTTGTTACTATTCACCTATACAAAGCGCTCTTGTTACCGCTGCTACTGTATCCATTAGCCGCTAGATGACGCAATGAGTAGCAGTTAACCTCTAGGTGAATACGAATTTTTTAATCTGCTGTTTGGTCGTGAGCCGTGTAGGTTTTTGCATGCCCAGATAACTTTTTGTAAATGTTCTGTTAAATTTTTTAATCAGAGTGCACTGAAAACGAAAAATTTTAAACACTATTACAGTATCGGTACTTTTATGAATTTATTTTATGAATAAAAATACAGTTTATTCTCAAACAAAACCCATATAAACCCAAGTCTAAAACTTTGTAGAATACTACAAAAAATGCAAAAAATGTTCGACCAAATTTGAAACTTTTTTCTCAGATGTGTTAGATTTTTTTGAGCACAAAGTTTTATAGCCCATTCAAGCATTTTTCTCAGAAGTGCCAGATTTATTTGAGTATACAATTTTATAGCCTATTCCATTTTAGTCTGATATTGTGCAAGTTTCAAGTGGCTAAAAATTACCATTATTTTAGAATTTTTATCGCCGAAGATGTTGNTTGTTTCGTGGCCTCAATATTACTACAAAGGCCATCTTATTTTCTGCTATTGGCAAATGCCGCATTTTCGTGATTGTTGTCTGCTCTTCCGAATTACTTTTCCTAACTCTTCTGGAACCACATATGTAATTTTACGAGCAGATATGAATCTCAAAGGCGGCGGTACTTTTTTCGTACCTTACACTCGTCTACTTGCAACCATATGTTCAGATACTCACGAGTAGTACGTCGCTCATTGGCAGAGCCAGGATGCGTAGTGGGAGGAGCACTGATCGTTGAAGGCGACTACACGCCTTCAGCTTGTAGTACCAGCGCTTGATCATTATGCCCTCGGCATGGTTACCTCGCAGACAGGCTTAACTCCCTACTTTCATGTCTACCTTAACGTTACTTACCCACTACTTCTTAACGTGGCTATAAGGTGAACGTTGATACCTTTGACTACTTTTATAGAACTAGAAAAAATTCTTGCTTCCGGCGCTTATTGCAATCGGAAGCCTCGCAACGAAAGTCAACCAGTTATGGCTGAAAGCGGCTAGCTTAGTGCGTTATTGGCTGACCAAGTGGTCAAGGTTACTTGAGGCAAAAAGCGCAGTTGTTGGGGCGACAGCAACAAAACCAACAAAAAGGTCATAGCGGCAGCAATGTTCAGCTGTGCAAATGGAAGTGCCATTGGCAATGAACAAGGTTGTTGGAATTGTTATAGAGCTGGCTACTTTATAGGCTCGCACGGTTATTAATTTGTTGAGGGGTTGGTTGGTCAAGAGTTGGTTGTGAGAATGCCATAAATATAATACTGTTATACCATATAAGTATGTATAAGCATTGATTCAGTTTCATTGCACAGGTAAGTGCATATATAACAAATATTTACTATTACAAGCTTTTTAGAAACGATTGGATACGACCAGAATCGATTAAGCGGCTACAGCGTCAATAAAGAAGAAGTACAAGCTTTGTATTTGTTGCGATCAAATAAATGTTTGAGATTAAAACCTTGAAGTGGTTTTTTTTACACAACATTATTCCCACTTCCCTAGTCTACAAGACAATTTTTGTTGGCAACATGTGAGAGTAATAAATTGTAAACCGTATCGCAGTAAGAAAGGAAAAAAAGGTGGTAGATAAAAAAAAATTGTGTTGTTGCCAAAGACATAGTCTAGCGCGATACTAGTGCAGCTGCAGCACAAAAAACTCATTAAAAGTAAAAGTTGCCGGTATCGCTTAAAGTAGAAAGAATGGCGGTTAGAGCAAGAAAAATGTTGGACAGCAAAGGATTTCACTAAGCAGACATTAGGATGTTAAAGAGAATTTACAGGTAGCAGTGGCATGTTGCAGTGTTGGGGAATAGTAATGGTTCAAGCGGAGTTACAGAAAGTGTATGTCAAAGAAGCGTATTTTTTTTTTTAATTCTACATGAAAAGCGATTCGCCTTGGTTCTAAATATAAGATTTTTTTTATAAGAATGAGTGAGAGAAAATGTTAAGGCAAATCGAGCTCTAACCACAATAAAAGGCATAAGAGAAAATTTTCCAAAATTTTATTTTTGAGGCAAATATGTAAAATTTAGAAACAAAAATCTCGCTTACGTCTTTTTGGCGGCTAGGGCTCGGAATTACCAAAAACTAATATTTTCAAACAATGGGGCTAGGAGCTTTCACAAAAAAGCTGTAAATTTTCACTATCACCAACTGACTCGTTTCCACAACAGTCGGCTCTATGTAACCGGAACGACCCAGATGCATGTCTAGTCGCGAACTGTTACAAAGGCAACAAACTCTTTTGGGAATTTGTATGCTGTTACAACAACAAAAACATCACTTATCAACAACTTTTGATCCCCAAATATCAATTTTTTTATTTCTGTGGCAATACAATTTTCTATATATTTTTTTAATTGTTTGTTTGTGACAGAAGATTAAAGAGCTCTACCGCAAAAACTTAGTTTCTTAGAGCTTCCACAGGTTTTTTTTTTCGAAAGCTTCGTAATCATAGAGATTTTCAAGCAATGATTTTAAGTTTTAGTTAGTAAAAGCTTTAACTCTGTTTAAAGGCAGATGTGTTTATATTATGGAAGTAACTGCAAGAGCTTTAACTAAAAAAGGCTTTTAAGAGCTTTCACAAAATAAGCTAAACACTTTCAGTTTTACAAAGATGTGACTTTTCAATAAATATTTTATCATTTGTTGAAGTTTCCTGTTCTATAAATATATAGAAAAAGCTTTCAAGCATTTAATTAGGAGTATTGTTCAAACAGAAGAAATCATGAGGATAAGTACTAATTAAAAATTAGGTTGTGAGAGACAAAAAAAATTTGAAAATTTTATAAAAAGGTTCAAAATTTTAACTATGAAAAGTTGCGATTTTGAAATGAGTTTTTTATTTTATTTTTCACAATGAAATTTTTCAGTTCGCCCATAACAATGACGTTGGCTGTCAAAAGAGCTTTTTGAAATATTACGCGAAAAGCTATGACACGACCATTTCAACTACATATCTATGGCCCTTTCCACGAATATCCTCTAGATTTTCTGAAATTTAGAACACAATGTTTAAGCAAAGCTAAACTATCACAGAAGCTTTTCAAAAGGTGCTCAGAGATTTCGTTTCAAAAGTACATGAAAGCTTTCAAAAGCAGCTTTCATATTATGTTTATGAAAGTTTTCGCTTTTCTATTTCAAGTCAGCAAATAAAGAGTTAATTCTAGAAATAAGAGCCTAACATTGGCTTTAAACACGTGATTTGAAGAGTTTTCGGCCTAAATAATAGTATTAGCGTGGAAAATACCTATGAATATATATATACATATGTACACTTGATAAGTATTTCGCTCGAGCTTTTTTCCATACTGAATGTTCTTTGTCGTCAGAATTGACCACTTCATAGGCACGCTTCAGGATTTTTTAGGCTTGAATCAATTCTGTAAAGGAGTTCTCTCTGTATAACACTGACATTGAATGATACATGCCTTGATAAAGTTAAAGCTTATTTCCAGGGACCGTACCGGTTACAAGTTTTATTATAAAAATCACTCTTTAATCGTTATTAACTGAGTTTTATTTTTTGCTCGGAAAATAATCGTTACGTTTTAAGTTTTATTTTTTGCTCGGAAAATAATGGTTACGTTTTATATTTCGAATATGTTAGTTTTAGTTTCATTTGCTCGGAATAACATTACGTTTTAAGTTTTATTTTTTGCTCGGAAAATAATCGTTACGTTTTAAGTTTTATTTTTTGCTCGGAAAATAATCGTTATTTCTTAAGTTTTATTTTTTGTTCAGAAAATAAAACTTAATTTTTGCGTATGCGTATGCGCTTTTTTGCACTTTTTCTTTAGAAATATGGTTCGCTTTGTTTCTGCGATGGTATCTGTATTTTCATTACCCACTCCACAGTGGCGTTAAAGGTTCAATGCAGCCGCCCCCTGTCTATTCACGCATGCTCATACGCATACGCAAAAATTAAGTTTTATTTTCTGAGCAAAAAATAAAACTCAAGAAATAACGATTATTTTCCGAGCAAAAAATAAAACTTAAAACGTAATCATTATTTTCCGAGCAAAAAATAAAACTTAAAACGTAAACATTATTTTCCGAGCAAAAAATAAAACTTAAAACGTAACCATTATTTTCCGAGCAAAAAATAAAACGTAACGATTATTTTCCGAGCAAAAAATAAAGCTCAAAACATAACGATTATTTTCCGAGTAAAAAATAAAACTCAAAATATAATGATTGAACTTGATTTTTATACGTAAAAATTAAAAAATTAAAATCAGTGCCGCTGAAGGTACTCCGAGTAATAACAAATATATTGGTTTATTCCTTATGCCCGTAGCCTTTCTCTTTCCGCGTGATTTTTTGAGTTGAAATTTCAAAGGATAATCGTTATTTGCGGTCCCTGCTTATTTCAAAGCAAGACCATAAATCTGCAGAGCCTTTTTTAGCTCTAAAAACTAAAGTTTAACGTCAAACTGTAACTAAATTTCATGATTGAAAATTAACTGAGAAAAAAAAAACGTTTTTTCAAAGAAATAGCGACAGAATCTCGTAAAAGCTTTGCACAACAGAAGCTAAACAAATTTTATTAATTTAAATTTAATTCCATAGGTGGTAAAAAAATTTAATAAAACACAACACACCACAATTTTTTCGCTTCCATTTTAAGTATATCTCTTTATTTATTCGTAAAAATTTTGCACATTTTGAATATCGAATATAAAAAAAAAATAGTTGAATATCTTATCTTATAATATTTTCGAAAAAATATGTACACATGCACTATTATGAATGTATGTATTACATACTAGTTAAAAATACGCATACAAAATTTTCAATACTATAAAGAACATTAAAAATAAACTAAGAATAAAAATAAAAAATTCCATGCTTTTCCAAAAATTCTGGCAGTTAGTAAGTTTCTCATTTCCAATTAAAAAAAATGTCGTCGCTTTATTTAATCGTTGTGTGTGTGGCAGTGTTAGTTTGTGTTATTGTGGCAGTTGTTGTAGCATTTATTGCAGCTATTGTGGCTTTGTGTGAGTGTGCCTATACTTTGTGGTGTGTGAGCGTAAATATGTATGTATGCAGGTGCGTGCAAAGGTGTTTGCTTCAGGCGCTTCAACTTCCGCTGCTGCTTAGTTAATACTTATAGCCAGGTCGGCCACCCGGGCCCTGTGGATATTGTGGTTCACCCTCGTAGCTGACATCCGCATGATAGCCAGTCTTCCAGTCGGCTGTATAACGTACGACCTGCGTGCGACCATCGGGCAGGACGACACGATATTCACCAGTCACCACATCACCATTGCTCGAAGCTTTGTGGGCATAGTCGTTGGCGGTTTCAATATCATTGACGGAGTATTCGAAATCGTATGGCATGCCGGGAACGTGGACGTGGCCCTAAAAGAGAAAGATGTGGGTACAGTAGAACAAATAGGTAGAAGAGCAAATTGAATGTAAGGTTAAAAAGCTTAGAGCTTTTGAGTTTTCAACGGAGCTTTTACCAAAAATTACAATTTTTTGAATATTTGAATTTGAATATTTTAAATTTCTATTAAATGAATGATTTTTAGAAAACTCAAATTTTGAATTAAATAAAAGCTTCCTAAATTTGAAGTTAAAGCTCTATAAACTAATTTAGCTATAATTATTATTTTTTCAAATCTTTAAGAACTTGAAATTGAAAATGTTAGGCATTTTAGTTTAATGTAAGAAAAGCTGCAGAAGCGTTTTAGGAAAAATATTGTGAATTCTTGGCAGCTGTAAGCTGAGAGAAAGAGCTTTTATTGTAACCATGGGTTTGTGGAAATAGCTTCGCAGCTTTCGGCTGTTAGCGAATAATACTAGAAAATGTTTGACAGCTTAGCGCTTTCGAGTTCTCAACGGAGCTTTTACCGATTTTTTGATTTGATTTTTTTGAATAACACAAGTTTTTGTTAAATGAATGATCTTTAAAAGGCTCACTTTTTGAACTTTATGAAAACTTCCCACAATTTAAAATGAAAGCTTTTTAAAGTAAATTTATTTTAATTTAAAACTTTAAGAACTTGAAATTGAAAGTCTTAAGCATTATATTTCTTATAAGCTCCAAAATCTCTATAGAAAAAATACTGATTTATTAGCAATTCTAAGCTTAGAGAAAGAGCTTACCATAGGCTTGTAAATAGAAATAGCTTCGCACTTATTCGTTGTTGGCGAATAAAGCCAGAAAATGTTTGAACACTTTGAAGGGAAATGTTGTTAGTTTTCAATAGATTTTGTCTAAAAAAGGACCGTTTTTCTTGTAACTTTTTTAGAAAGAAGCTTTACTAAGCTCTTTCCAGCCAAGACGATTTCAAAATTTTCTATGGAAACTGAAAGCATCGCAATGAATTGTAGGGAGAAAGTTTAGTATTTATAAATCTTTCGTTTTGCAGTTTTAAATTTCGTGCTTTTATCTGAAAGTAAAAGCTGAACGACTAGGATTGAAGGAACGTTGCTCAATGAAATCAGAGCACAGTTGGCCACTTCAAAGACAGGCCTCTTAAGCTTTTTTTTTTAGTTTTTTGTGAATTTAATATACGGCCAGCAGAGGATAAAATCTCTTTTTGGCCACTAGCGAATCGGTGCTTTTTTGGAAAAATCTTTAACATTCAACATTTTTTTGAGCTTTGAAATATTTATGGCAGATGCATTTTATGTGGACGGACACAAGCCAGTAGCGTGCTTCTGCAAAGTGCTTCATATAAGTAGGCTTAGCAAGCTTTTGTATATAGATACGTCTACAACAAATGCATGAAAAACTTTAAAAGCTCTACAGCAGTCACGAGCAAAATCTCTTTCTAAAGATTTTATATGAATGCGCTCACAGTAAAAGCTCTCTCTACTCGTCACTGCGCCACAGACTGGAAAACCATCTCCTTAACAGCAGCGATGTGCTCAATATAAAAGCTCTGCCACCGAAAGCTCTATCTCAAATTCTTTATTAATTAAAAATTAATTATAAATTGGTTAATCTTTATAAATACTTACAGGCTCGCCAGGTCCTGGTGGAGAGGGTGGGCGCTGTGGGCCTGGTGGGCGGGGTCCAGGTCCGCTTGGTGGTCCAGGTCGCTAAAAATATTCGAGTAATATAGTTTAAAAATCAGGGTTTTGAACTAAGTGCTATTCGTTTTAATCGTTATTATTTCTTAGTTTATTAGTTAGTAGCTGTGCAACCAATCGCCAAATTTTGAGTGAGTTTAAAAACAATGACTGATGTTAAGCTGTTTGTTCTTCGATTTCCACATTCTTTTTATAATAACCCGTGGAGGGTTGTTGTTCTAAATTTAAGCGTTTGTGTGAAGTTTTTTTGCCAATCCAATTGCCCACAGTTCCAACTTCCGCGATATTCGTCATGCTGATTGTGATTGGAGAAAACTACGCCACCCTCCATTTCATGATCTTTAGCAGTAACTTTACTTTCTCAGGCATAGGTTGGACTTAGAAATGCCAAAATCCGCAAATCGGCGCCTGTCACATCACGTTTGATAGAATTATCAAAAATTTAATGAGTTCAACGTACTTTTTAGCAAAAGAGTGAAAAGCGCTAAAACCCTTTACTAAAGAAAATTTCGCATCAAATCGTACAAATTCCTAAAAGCAGTTCCCCACCATCAAATAACCGAAATTGACTGCCTACCCTACCATCGCATTGCCCTAAAAGTATTTCACAGCCAAATTAGAAATGCCAACAGTGACCAGTGGCAACGCAAAGCAGCGCAACACCTACACGCCAACAAGAAAAACAAGCACCTTAAAGGCAAAACCACAACAAGTCCAACAAAAAAAAAAAAACAAAACGACAATCGGAGTGGCAGTAAGTAAAGCAATGCAACAAACAACCCATTTTCGGCGCAAGTGAGGTGACCCAAAATGACAGCAAAGTCAACACGCTCACACCGAACGACGGAACAGAATAGCATATATGTAGTCGACTCACAGCAATAGTAGACTTCAACAACAACGCCAAAAACTGAACTAGCAACAAGTTGAAATGTGTCGTAGGCGAATGGCGACATTCAATTGCCGTGTACTTGCCACAATTTGCGGCAATTGCAATGCAATGCAAAATGCGACGAAAAATGCCGGTGCACAGAGTGCATAATGAAAAATTAGCGAGAGAAGAGGTAGTACGAAAAAGTCTCAATACTTTTTTTTTTTTGATTCGCTTCTTTTTTTCGCTTAGGAACCGGAGGTGCGGCATTGTGTATTCGAAAAGAATGCCGCTGCCAACTACATACATAAGAATGCAGAAGTATAAGAGTGTGTGTGTGTGTGGGTTGATAGCCTAAGGAACGTAGAGATCGGGGTGTATGCAGGGGTGGGTGGAGTGAGAGGTAGGTAATCGCAAATACGGAGTGATGTGCACTACTGGCAGCCAGCAGGTTGCGCGCCATGATCGGCAGCTACGTACATATGTATGTGCGAATGTGCAATTGCAGTCAGCAACAGCCTGGTGGAGAAGCTGTGTTGGTAGTAGTTGTTGTTGTATTTTTTTCCATTTCTGTTTCTATGCTTTTTGCGGCAGTTTTAGCTGGCTTGCTGCAAAGGTAACAACCAACACAAGAACACTACTGGCAACTATTCTTTTGCAAGCTGCAGACATCAGCCCGCTGAGCCAGTGTGGCTGCGGCTGATTTTGGGCCATTGGCTGTTGACTGGGTTGACTGAATACCCGATTGGTTGGCTGACTGGCTAACTGGCTGGCTGGGTACTCTTGCCAATTTCAGTTTTGTAGTTAGTTTTTGCTCTTCAGCTTTGTTTTGTTTGCTCTTGTTGTTGTTGCTTTGTGTTGTGCAGCACTTTTTGCCGCTGGTCGCTTTAATTTAAAGTTCAAGAGTTTTTGTGGCACGTCGTGATGTGCACTGGTGCGGGTCTTTGGCAGCAGTAGTGTTGCTATTGTTGTTGTTGTCTTAGCTACTGGCTTGCTTATAGCTAACTATGTATGTACATACCAACGCTGGCGGATATCGATTGCGGGTGCATCACCAAAAAAGTTATGTGTTTGTTATGTATGTACATTGGGGTGAATCACTCTCCATACAAAAAAAAAATGGATTGTTTTTCCATCGTAAATATAAAATATTCTATATTTTGAGATTTCCGTCAAAATATTTCCGCAGAAAAATATGATTTACGGGAACCCGACCGATTTGAAAATACCTCCAAAACTCGGTTTTTATAAATAAGATTAGTTTTAAAAAATATTTGATGCTAAAAATTACCGCAGATTAAAGAAGAGTTTAAGTTTAAAAAGTTTGCACATTTTTTTTTTTTTTAATTTGACAACGGAATGAAAATAATGCGATTTTTGGATGCGTTTTCATATTTTTCCGAAATTTTTTGGCGTAATTAACAGGCAGAAAAAAAAACAAATTGGGAAAAATTGTGGTCCAAAAATCTCAGTATTTTCATTCCGTTGTCAAATTAAAAAAAAAAAAGTGTGCGGACTTTTTAAACTTAAACATTTCTTTCATGTCAGTTAATTTTTTGAAAAAATTATTTAGAAAACAACTCGATTTTTGGAGCTATTTTGAAATTGGTACAGCTTACATAAATCATAACATTTTTCCAAAAAATTTTTTGGGGAATGTCTTAAAATATATTACATTTTATATTTCCGATGGAAAAGCAGTACCTACGGATTTTTTTTTGTATGGAGAGTGCACCCTAATATACATATGTACATATACATACATACATAATAAACAGCAAAAAAAAATTCTTGAGTATAACTAGAACAACCCCTCTACTCGTTTGCCATTTTTGTTTGCAGCATTTTACAAGGTTCTATACTTTTTTTCCAATTTTTTTTTTGCCACTTATTCTTCTTTGAAGTTCTTTTCGCGTACTTTTTCTTAATTTTTCATATTTTTCACTAGCCAATTTTTTCAAGTTTCTTTCTAAACTAAACAAATTTTGTTCTATGTTTTTGCAACACATCGCCTCTTCGCCTGTTTCTTCACAAAATTTTACATTTTCTAGTTTTTCTCACTTTTTACAATTTTTTTTTTTTTGTCTTTCTTGCTTCTTTTACTGGGTCTTTGCTTAGTTTGTTTCTTTTCCGCCAGTCGCTTTACGTTTATTTGCGCACACCTTGCAATGTCAAAAGTTCAAAAAAACGTGGTGCTAGCAATTTTGAAAGTATGATAATTGTTGTATTTGTACAGTAGTTGTGGTTCGCAGACTTTGTTATTGTTTTCGTTGCTTTTGTAGGTGCTATTGCTCTAGTGGCTGTTAAAAAGGTCGAAAGTGGAAGTTTTACTGGCAGATATACCGGAAAGAAATGAAAAGAGGCAACAAGAATACGGTGTTCCAAATAAAAAAGTACCAACTTGGAGTACAAGGCGCTTAAGAAACTCTTAAAGGTGAGGCGCATCTCTTGGCACCGGTGGGATTCTTCAATGACTACAAGCCGATTGAAATCCTTTTGGTCTAATATTCAAACTACTTAGTGCTCAGTGTTAGCGAAGTTTGGTGAATAGATTTAAGTCGCCTGCGTAACTTTATTGTGAACGCGTATTGAAGTGAAACTTCTTTAGGGGCGATAGTGAATTAAAACCGCGTCTCAAAAAAAAAAATGTGACAATCCAAAGGTAAAATAAGTGCATTTTGCTTTCTTCTTTTCTTTCTCTACCGTTGTGTTTAAGGTTAAGGTTAAGAAAAAGACAACGACAAAGGCAACGACAGAGGCTACGACTTAGGCTAAAGCTAAGATTATGATTAATGTTAAGGTTAAGTTTAATACACATTTCTGCACCATCAAACAAAACAAAAATTAATCGAGAAGTGTGATCCGGGCGCAATTATTATTATTTTTAGTTCGACCCTCTTCCCTCCATTTCCATTCCTCTCTTGTTCCTCCTCCAACGCCATTTGTATCACAAAGGACAGATTTAATTTGCCCGTAAAAGTTCACTTTTGTTATTTTTCGTGTAGGCAGCCGTACAACATAACAAAAAAGCCAAATTGTTTAAAGTCTTACCTATAGAGTCCTGAGTTGATTTCTTCAACACTAAGACGGTCCAATCGGGTCAAATTAGGCCCATTGTAAGTCTGATACGACCTAACTTGTCGAAAGCTTCTCTCTTTGCAGTAGATGAGGTCCAACCAATATCTTCACGAGCGGATCGAAGCTGGACAGAAGAGCTTGAGAAGGTATCCACTGTCAGGAACTCTCAATAAATCTAAGGCCCAGACTGCCCGATCTCTGCAGAGTCTTTCAGTTTATACTGACCACATAAGAGAGACCGCCGATTGGCTACGCAACAACGTTTTGCCGTCTAGGAGTGTAAATATCCACTCCGTTAGCCAAGCGGCAAACAGGGCGCTGGGATCGCCACGATCGAAATTGGTCGGATATAGCTCGACCTCTCCCTCAATCGCCTCGGAATACTTTCAAGTCAATCTGCAACATTGGCAAAACCAGCCATCTGAAAATCGCTTTTTCGCTGCATTATTAAAAGCTGCAGCTAATCTCATTTATAACAAAACGCAAATGAAGTTGCTATTTAGTAGATAAGTATGTACTCCTATGTAACGATTAAGTAAGTAGGTGATCTCCATTAATTCCATATCTGTATGTATGTATGTATGTATGTACTACTATCAACAAATCTCGCTCTACTAGCAACACTGCAACACGTCAAATTAAGCCATACAATGGCGGCTGATGTTGCCAAACTGTTATTTCACGGTGCTTGCAACATTTTGGCTTCTCTAACAAAACAGGCACAAAAAAGGCTGTTTTCCTCTTTATTTTTTGTGCACCAGGTAGCAAAAAAAAAACTAAAATTTTAAGTCAATAAAACGAATGAAATGAATAGCAAACTAGTGGAAGCCACTATTATAAAGAAGGGACAAAAAAAAAATGAAGCTTTTATTTTACAGCGTCATGTAGCAACAGGGAAGATTCATTTGGTTAACTTTTAACTATAAAGTGGCACAAAAACACACACATACACACAAAAGTGAAGCACAAATGCAACACAATTGCCAACAGCACAGCTTGTTATGGTTGTTGTTGTAGCCGCTGCTGCTCTATTCACCTACTAACCGTACGACGCCCGCGACTTGGCATATTGGCTATTGCCGACTTTGTTTATTTATTTTTGGTTGTCCACTTCGACAATCATTGAGCGAAAAACCGCCGAAAAATTGCTTTGCATCATTTCTTGTGTGCATCCGTTTGTTGGTTGCAGCTACTGCTGCTGCAGCGAAACTCACGTGCCTTCACCTTTTACTAAGTACCCGGTTTACTCAACAGTCAGCTGGAGTGCCGTGCCTCTTATGCGCTGCCAATTACTACTACTCTGCTAGTGTTTGGGGGCGAATAACTTCAACTATCCCTTTTACTTTCAGCGGATATTTTCCAATTCTACATATTAGATGTGCTACAAACTTATACTACCATGGTCTAACTGCATTGTTTTTTATATGCATATGTATGTAGATTAGGGTGAATCACTCTCTATGCAAATAAAAAAATAATAATAATCGATACTGTTTTACCATCCGAATTATAAATTATATTCTACTTTGACACCACCACCAAAATATTTCAGAAAAATATTAAGATTTCACGTAACCTATAACAATTTAAAAATATTATCAAAAATGGAGTTTTTTTTATAAAAAAAAATTAATTTACAAAAAATATTTTTCCAAAACCTCACCTCAGAAGATAGAAGATTTTAAGCTTAGACGGTCTGCATAAAAAGGTTTAAACATTTTATCAACGGTGTCGAAGTAATGCGAATTTTGGAGGTTATTTCAAATACGTACAGCTCCCGCAAATCATAATGTTTTTTTGAAAGTATTTTGGGCAGTGTCTTAGCATATAATACATTTTTGAATTTCGGTTTCGGCTTTTGGAGAGGCACGCTAATGTACATATATGTATGCTTAGTAGGTGGTCGTCTAGGTACTTATATGGTTTCGCTTTCATTTAACAAGAAGTTGTTCTTGAAATTTTCGATTTTTACTAATTGTTTGAGAAGTTATTATATAAGCCATCACTATGCCTGAATATAAAGAGTAATAAGAACAAGTGGATGTTGAAACGAAGTGGAATTTGCATTTATTTTAATTGTCCTTTGCTGGATCCACCGTCAAGCTTCCATCAAGGGAACACTTGAGATCTTGGAAATATGTACTAATCTTGAGATTTTAATGGAGAGACCCTCTCTCTGGCCTACACGAATATAGAATTTCGCGCAAGTCAGAGTCGTTTTTTTTTTTAATTCCAAGCGTTAAGTGCGTTCTTGGATAGTATGCTGAGCATCAGAGAAATACAGGGAAACTGTTTATTGGAAAAAGAACTAAATCTACAATTTATTTTTGACAATTAAGCCGCAGCAGACCTCTCTATGAATACCGCGTTATTCTGACTTGTGCGACTGATGTCTCCAAAAAATATTCCTAAACTTGAGAGAAAAATCATTAAAAGACCTGGCTTGCAGTCGTTCAGAAATGATTTACTGTGGATTCAATAAAGTTAGAGATATTTTCTGCCCCGAAATCACTTTAGATGGTATTGAGTGTGACCATGGTAATAGGAAAAATGAAATTGTATAAAAGGCACGTCTTCGAATAGCGCTTCTCTCACAAAAAAAAAAAATCAATTTACCGCTAGACGCACCCTGACGGTACTTTTAATAAGAATAATCAATCAATTAACGTTCTGGAAAAATGCCTGGCGTAAGAAAGATGCGAATTTTCTGACACTCTGTGTTAAAAGAGATATGCTTGGGGGACAACCTCTTCTTCTTCTTCTTCTTCTTATTTGGCGCTGTAACCGCCTAAGCGATTTTGGCTCCGAGTTGAATGCTTTCAGAGCTGGAGCGTCGGTGTCCATTGAGGGAGTAATCTCAGACCGAGAAATTTGAACAAACGGGTTTCATCACCTTGATACCAGATATTTATGTACATTCGTAAGGAAAGGTGCTTAAATTAGGGTACTGACGAATCAAAGGTAACGAAATCGCCAACAAACTGGCGAAAGAAGGCTCATAAATGGTTTGATTTGCTTGGAGAATTTTAGTTACAGAGTGAGTAAACATAGAACATAATAACTATAGGGGAGTTGTAGGAGCCTTGGACCGACTGGACTCTTTGATTAAATTTTCAATAGATAGGACATTATCAAGTATTTTAAACGAAGCTGATATCAGGCTGCATGTGGGTTTTTAAACGGTCGTAACCGACTGTGTGGACCGGATTGATCTGTCTACAGAAACAGAATGCCGACAGGCACATGTTAGACCAGTTACAAAGCAATGAACTATAATTCATCTACATTCGATTCTTATAAGAAAATAGTCTGCTTAGATAGTTTTACCCTTCACAACGGAAGTTGAAGTGGCAGGTTACCCTCAGTTCAGACGCCCTTCCCTCCAATGAACACTTTATTACATATATACATATTTGTCTAATCAATTTTACAACAAAGTTGCTCCGTAATTTACATTCGTTACGTCTTCTCACTCTGTATAACTCTTACGAAAAAGTAGCAAGCCAAAACTCAGCATTTTCTCATGGAATCTTAGTTCATTAAATTCATTAAAAAGTGTATAACTACAAAAGCCATTGGAAGATTATATTAAAAGTGTGCAGTTGTTTGTTTGCCAGTGAGTTAGTGATTGAACCGCCCATTATTATTTTCGCCTACTTACCAGTGGATTTTTGGGCTCTGGATAATTGTAGCCATTTGGTTTTGGCGGCAGGTACATATTTGAGCCGGGAGCAAGTTGCGCGCAGACGCAGGCGATGACGGCGATTGTGGAGCTCTGAAGAGTAACAAAAGCAAAAAAGAAAAAGAGAAAGGAAATTGTTGATGAAAAATTGTGAAATAAACGACTAGTAATGAAGGGAACAAAAGCACATATAAAAATACAATAAACATAGAATAGTTAAAAGTGAATTACTTAAATCTAATAATAAAATAGTAAAAATAATAAAAAAATTAATAGTTCATAAAAAATCATTTTCACAAATTATGCAAATTTTCCTGCAGCTGCGCTCATTGTTTGGCTGCTATGCCAATAAAGGCTAAATAAATCAAAAAAATTGCAATCAAATTATATTTTGGCAAATAACAAAGCAATAAATGTGCATTAATGCCTAAATATACTTTTCTATGATTTAAAAAAATAAAAATAAAAAGTACCGTTGTGCATGCAAATCAAATAAATTTTATTGAGTCACAAAAGCTTTGGCATGGAAAATTTGGGGGAAAAACGTGCGATAGCATCGCATTTGACATTCAACGCCTCTCTGTAAAGGTAGTAACAGTACCAGAGCCATTACTGCAAGTAGTGCCAACTCGCAAAGAACTACATACAAATATCGAGTATTTGTAACAACAGCAAAAACAACAACAATTTAGAAGTTTTAATGTACAGGTGCAGCGCCATAAATGATGATTTTTTTCTGAGGCAACAGCTAAATATGAAATAGTGAGTTGAAAAAAATAGCGTGTCTGCTGCCAGTGTTGCTTGAGAACGTTGTGCTGTACGAGTATGTACATAAACGAAGAAAAGGGCGCAGCAGCCTTCAGCCGATATGTTGATGTATGGCAGAGCAAGAGACAACAGGCCGAGGAATAACAAGAAAATATATTTTTGTGATTTTATTGTGGCTGCTGTGGTGGTGGTGTTGGTAACAGAGCTAAGTAGAGCATGGGTGGGAATTTTAGTTAAATAATATATAAAATTAAAGGGTGTGACCAGAGCGCTATGAGAATTCTTTCCTTAAAAAGTGCATTCCTTAAAAAAACGATGCATCGAAAGAAAAATACAGCAATCAGAGTAACATTTACTTAAGATAAGATTGCTCTGAAAATTTTCTATTCAATAATTCTTAACGCGCGTAGTTTTGTTCAAAGCTTTTTATAAAAATCTAAAAACTCAAAAGTTTACTTTTACAGAGTTGCACTCAATTTATAAAAATTACAGCTAAATACAATTTTTTCCAGACGCACTTATCTCTGCAATGGTTAAAATCAACTGCTTTTCATGAAATTCCCAAACCGCAAAAATTTGCATTTAAATACAAGTTTTAAAATTTTCTTGTACGCTGTTATCTTTACACCCCTTAAAATCATTGCTGTTTATAAAACTCGAAAACGTCAAAAATTTACTTGTACAGAGTTAACACTAATACCTACATTTTTATTAAATTCATAAATTAAAAATTTTTAATAGTTAATTTGTCTATACATTACATGAAAAGATGTAAGAAACATTTTTTTTTGGTAAGCAGGGTTGCCATCATTTGCTATTTTTTTACCTAAATAACGTATTTATAAAGTTTAATTGCTGTAGGGTGATGATAGCCCATGCCAACTGTCATATGACCCGTACCGTGGATCAGCCAGGGTCGGCCTCTTCATAAAGCCAGTTTCGAACGGATGATTTCGGATACGTGGCACCTACGCAGCTACTTAGCCTTATTCGACTACAACGGATTTCTGTCCGTGCGGAAGAACTGCTCAGTTATGGATAAAAAATGAAAACCGCTCTTATAAGAACGGCCGACAGGAGCAACCACCCACGTTTCAACGCGCGCTATGGCGTCTCATGCGATTGCGACAAATGGACAAAGCTTGATGACCTGCGGTAGGTCAAACACTACAGTAGCGCACGCCTCCCACTCAAAGTCACTCACCAAAGGGCAAATCAGAAGGACTTCGTGAAGGGGCAAGAATTGAATGGAAGGCCCTAATCTAAGTGGCTGCTATGAATAAAATAGGCTAAGCCTAACTATGAGCTGATTTGAAAATTGGAACCACAGGCTTTTCGCAATGACCAAGCAAAAAAGATTGGGCACCATTGGACCAAGCGGAAATCTTGGGAACCAGCGCTGAAACTAAACAAATTTTAAAAATTAATTTTGGTAGAGTTGCCATAAATTTTTGCAATGCCTTTGTTAAATCTTGCAGATTTTATTAGCCAGTATAACTTAATATGTATAAATACTTTTGCAATTCAAAAATTTTTCATAAATAGGGTTGTCATCAATTGTGAATTTGGCTACAAATAGAAAGTATTAAATTTAAAAGTTAAAAAAAAAACTATAGGGTTGCCGCGTAAAAAACATTGAGCGAAAATATTATGTTATCAGTTCTCGTAAGCAGAGTTAAATAAATTTTTGCTAAGCTAACAAAAACTTTCACAATAATGGTAAAATTTTATTACTTTAGAGCTGTTGTATCAAAAATAAATTTTTCAAGAAAAAAATTTAATCTTTTGAAAAAAAAATATTATTTACTAATTTAAATGAAATCCAAAATACTTTAAATGGTAAATGCAAATTTGTAATTTATACAATATGAGAAAAAAATTCTTTGTATGTATTAAAAATGAACAAATTACTTAAATCTGAAGCAGCAGAAATTCCGATATTTTAAAATCGAATGAACATTAACATTACCTGAAATGGTGTAATTTGTTTGCTGCCATATTATATATGTATATTTATATTCTAAATTGGCCAAAAGAAAAAAAATTAAAATCACTGTCCAAAACTTTTATTGCACTTTTGATCTACATTCATTTTCCAAATTTTCCGTGAACCAAAACCATGTTTTTACCCCTAATTGACACAATGTTCAAAGCATCAATCAGAAGCGACCATAAAATAACACAACTATTTATCAACCATGAGAACATTCTTCACAATCACTCTCAAGTGATCATCCACGAACTGATCTTCATCACTAAATATTAACGTCTTCACCGCTCACCTCCACCGCGCAATTGCGCTCATCACCACGCGTGAATGGCAAGTGGAATGTGCGACAAAATCAGCAGACGATCGGTCGGTCGATCAGCAGTGAGATCGCATGCATGCCAATACATACTCCTACCAGCTACTTGTTGGCTATTGCAGCTGATCGATCGGTCGATAGCTCAAGCCGTAGCTCGCCGAATGGCTGATTATGCTTTTGATTTATGCATTCATGCAACATGTCATTGTTGGCAGTTAGCAAAGCGCAAGAAAAAAGTTGCAGAAAAAAATGTAAATAAACGGAAAAATGCATTAAAGCAAGCAAAATAATGCAGCATCGTTGTTGTATGGTTTTCTTTTACTTTTTACCCATTACGGAAATCTTAATTTGAAGGACAGCTACTGGCCAACGCAAAGTAATGATCCAGCGATCGGCAATGATCAACGACGAGCAGCCATCACATTTTTGTTGTGCTCACTGCAGCGGCAGCCACTTTTTCTTGCTATGTAATGAATAGTATTTATTCGCACATTTTTTTGCATTGAAGATGATTTTGTAATTTTTTTCCAACCCAATACCGATTAAATAATTTTTGCAACGACGCTAACGACGGGTAAAATTAATACATAGAAATGATTGATATGCAAATAATTGCAACTACTTTAAAACTTACATAGGTGCATATGTATGTATGTATGTAAAAAAGTGTCTATATTGTTGAATGCAAGTGTGATAAAATCATTGCACGGCTGTGGGCCAAATTCAAAGTCAAGCGCATGTGTGTTCATACACTACACGTACATATATATGTATATATGTTTATATATGTGTAGGAGTGCTTGGGTGTAAGTATTTGGCGATGCATGCTTGATGATACCAAACACACACAAAAATGAAAAAAAAAATATTAACGGAAGCCCGTTTATTAACTTTAAGGTTGTTGCCACTCAGCGGCGGGTGCGTTGATGGGTGACTAATGACACTGAGCAGTTAATATTTTGTAGTAAAATTTGATTGATTGTTTAATTGATGAGTTTTGGGAGGAGATTTATGATTTAGGCGCGCTGTAAATCGCTCTTCCGGCGGTTGTAATAAAACTAGGCATACAGTAATTAATTTTTTATTTTGTGTGGTAAAAATGTCTTTAGAAATATGTTTTTTGACGTACATAAGTGTTAAAAACAGCACTTGCAAATGATATGTCTTCAGTAGTTGGAATTATTCCGGTCAACCCACTCAATAAACCTGGTGACTAAATGGGCGGCTAATAGCTGCCTTGCCGTCAATCCTAAAAAGACAGTTCTTATTAATTACCCAAGCAAGTCCATCTCTCGATTGGGGGCGATCGCCAGACCCTCTTGAGCAGCGTAAAGTACTAGGCCCTGATGCCACATAAGAAACTTCCTTGCAAGCCTGACTTTGAGAAAATCAATTAGGCTCTCCTAGCAAAACTGTCGTCGCACTGGCTGTAATTAGCCTTAGGGAAACCGAACTACCTCAATCTATTAACACTCTAAAATTATAGCAAGTTTCCATTTCGTCGCTGACTACATGGATAACTGCCTCAATGAAATGGCTTAAAGTATTTATCTTCCCCACATATATTCCCTCTAGGGATTGACGAGGTGGCGACAGAAAGGTAGCAGTGAAATTTTTTCATGAATGCGTCGAAGCTTGATGGAAGCGTTAGCGGAGAGATCTTTTACCAAGAGCTCTTCATGCAAATCAGGTTTATGCTTTATGACTTCGGTGGAGTTTTTTTTATGCAGAAGTGACTGAATTGAAAGATTAGACCCTCTGCTCCAAAGCATGACGACCATAAGATAGGTTATAGGGCATCAGCTCCGAATTCCAAGCGGCAATCATTGCCAAGAGGACACAGGTGGTGTGCTCGAAATTGCCAGGCAATGCCAGACCTTTCTCTCACTTGTAGCTCACTGTTTGACAGATGGACGGATGGATGAACGGTTAAGTGCATACTTATTCAAGCAACCGAAATAATGAAAAATATTTCCAGAGATTTTACTTGATTGCTGCTAACTGAGCTTTAAGTTACTG